GAAAAATATGTCTCTTATCATTATCTCTCAATTCCATTCATAGTTACTATTAAAGTAGTGCCTAGGAAAAACACCTTAGGTGTGAAAAAAAAGGTGTGGCCAAAAAAGGATTGAATATGCAATTTAAAGGAATGAAATCAAAATTGTCAGCCAAACTGGTAGCTACACTTATAGCATTGATAAGAATTTTACAGCAAATATTCATTAATCAGTTAGCCAGGCCGCGTATTTGGTTTTACCCACCATCATGCCCCAAGTTGAACAAAATACTCGGCCTAGCTAACTAATGAATGAATATTTGCTGTAAAATTCTTATCAATGCTATAAGTGTAGTTAAGAGTGTGGCCGTCAATTTTGATTTCATTCCTTTAAGTCGCACACTCAGTCCTTTTTTAGCCTCACCTGTTTTTTTTTGTTTTGTTTTTTTCACATCTAAGATGTTTTTGATTAGATCGTGATAGCTGGAGTCGACTCGTGAGTGCAGCTAAAATTCTGACTGGGATTACGTGAGTGTGTGATTTTGCTTTGTGCGAATGGCGTGTGTGCGGATGTTCTAGTCTTTCATTCGTTTTTGTTTCATTAAACCCACTTGTCCTATAGCTGCTGAGACAGAAGGTGATCCATTGGTGCTCGAGCTAGAGTAGCTGAGCCAAATCCTATGTTTTTCCTCCATCGCTCGATACAGGAAGGTTCGCTCTCCTCGAGTCGACGGATACGTTGGAGGAGGTGAACTGAAGCGCTTAACAACATAGCTAGTGCACATCAAGATCGATGCTCTAGATGTTGCGGATGATGTTCGAGACAAAAACTAGTGCTACAAGGAGTTGCGCATGCGCTGTATCATCATTAGTAAATGTTAAAAACCATGTAGGCTTACTGTGTGAAACTGTAAAAGCAATGAAGCCAGCAAACATTGAATTCAAAACAGGTAATTGTGGAAACAGCGTGAAATTATCGGTAAATATATATGCGTAGTTTGTGACTAATTGTAAGCAAGAGTGGTGTTATCGATTTATCCTGTAGACTGTTATAAATGTTTGCAACATTTGCTAAAGAAAGCAGAGGAACTCGTTACGTTCTAAAGACTGTGCTCTACATGGAGATGTTTACACAACCTTTCCCCTTCTGTTTTAATGTGATTTGTGCGCTACCGACGGTATTTAACCGCTAGCTTTAACACTTTTTAGTTGTCGAGTCCGTAAAGTAGCACACACATATTTTTTGCCTAAGCTGCTACTTCGTAGAAATTGTTAAACAATCATTTTCACTTTTCCTCAGTTCATTCTCTTACTTAATGCACTATCGATTGTGCGTGTTGCAACTATCACCATCAGAGAGTATATGTATAGCTTAAGATTTCATATGGACCAGTAGTGCTAGTGTCCCACTTTTACAAGCACGCTGTTCTAAGTATATAACACTCTTCGTCGAGAATTTCGTTCCAAGACTGGGTACCATTCGTCTACAGGAGTAAGCTGCTTTCAAGCAACATAACCGATTAGCAAAATCCTGTTTTAACAGTAAGTAGTAATCTTGACTAATTGATTAGCAAAATCCTGTTTTAACAATAAGTAGTAATCTTGACTAATTGATTAGCAAAATCCTGTTTTAAGTGTAAGTAGTAATATGATTAACCGATTAGCAAAATCCAGCTTTAACAGTAAGTAGTAATATTAATTTCCACTGATTATGAATTACTGTGCTGACGTGGTAGAAAGTGAATGGTTTGTAGACATTTCTAACTAGTTATCATTTCTAGCTACTTTTCTCCTTCAAATATTCACAGTGATAACTCGATAGCAATTACCCATAATCCCCTTTTAAATCTAGGGTTTAATAAGCTATCTCGGTGACATTTCTATTTGAGAGAGTGTACCAAACAAGGATGAACTGTCCTCGTTTCGTTTTCGTTTTCAGTGATAACGTGTTTCAATAACGTGTTCTTGTGCAAATTATTCAGTGTAACATCTCGATTCTATATTTTTAACGTGTAAACTATTCAGTTGAACAACTTAGCTATAGGTCTTTATCAAAACAGCTAGAATTCTGCATAGCTACAGTATTATTGTTTTTACAGCTCTTACTGAGGATAAGTCGAATACTACATAGTTCTTGAACAAATGTCTTTGGTGAAGATTATTACATTATACGTAGATGTTCTATAAATATATCTAACGTTTACTACATTACTCAGTAAATGTATTGAATGAACACTTGTAGGACACTTTTAATCGTCTATAGTTGTGATATATAGAGACCATAACTAACTCCATAAAATAATCTATCTTTATTCATGCAATCTTTTCAAAATGATAATAAAAGTTTCTGAACTTATTACCAAATTCTAAACGCACAAGATTCACCAATCGTAAAGCTCATTATTCTTGTAATCGTGAAACGTCTCCTATTTGTCGGTCTGCTTGTTAGTTAAGTAAAGTTGGCGCTGGAAAGACAGAACCACTTTGTGTTCTTGACCAGTAGAGTTATCTGATCCTTAACTCCAGTAGCACAACATAGATGCCGACACTGAAAGCAAAAAGTACTCTTGGCTTTGACCTGAAATAGAAATCTCTTGCAGTATTCCTTTTTTTTTGTTCGCCTTTAATAAAGTGTTTTCTCTAAGTAACTGCTTCATTTCTAGCCGAGTCAAACTTAATTACACTTCTCATTACAGATCTTATTAACTCTCCTGTTATTGTAGTTCTAGTAAATTAGCTGTTGGTTTTAAGTGTAACTTAGAATACCACATAGTTGTATGGATGTATATGAGCTGAGCAACTTACATTATACACAGTTCTTGTGTGAATGCCTTAAAATGAGCAACTCACGTTCTCAGTGTATTCTACCTACAGCAAGACCTCCTGGGACGTGCTTAACTGTCTAACGAAAAGCAGTCACGCTTATCCAATTAGCTAAATTATGCTTAAGGAATGAAATTGCTCTACAATATTATATTAGTTGTTTAAGAGCGTATAAAAGATAAATTAAATTTATCTCGAATTTGAGTTGTGTCTACATCCTTAAAAATATTATTTTGAACTAGAATCAATAAATTAACTGCGCAGCGCCCTCAAACGGTATTTTAAGAGAATGACTAATGATCAATATTCATCAAACACGATTATCAGCCAAAGTTCTTATTAGCACTTGTTCTTCTTAACTATTTCAAAAAGTAATACTACGTTTGAACATCTAACGTTATTGTTATAAGGAAGTTTTAATGATGTTAGTACGATTTTGTAAAACTTTTGCACACATTCTGGAGATATACTTTTCTTTGATGAAACTTTCTCTAACGCATTGTTTTCTATTTCTTTTTCTTTTTTTGAAAACAAAAACTAAAAGTGCATGTGCAATATCACGTCACCTGTTATTAAACTAACGGCCTGTCAAGGCCTGGTGGTTAGAGCACTCGACTCGCAATCTGAGGGTCGTAGGATTGAATTCTTTCACCAAAGATGCTCTCTTTTTCAGCCTTGATAGCGTACTAATTTGAAGATCAATCCCATGAGTTGGCGGTGGGTAGTGTTGATTAGCTGCCTTCCCTCCAGTCTATTGCTTCAGAGTTAGGAACAGCTAGAGCTAATAGCTCTCAAACAGCTTTACGCGAAATTCAAAAAATAAACAAACAAATGAAACTAACGTAATGTTTTGGTAGGCCTAGTATCAGTTGTATGCTTACATAATTGAAAATGCATATCTGAATACTTTGTCTATGTTGATCATTATTCTTAAAACATGATAACTTGTTGAAGTAGTAAGGTACAAATATATTTATTTTAAACTATATTTTTTCATAAAGAGTTTTTGTTTTCTTTTAATTATTACTTTTAAGTTTGTTTTATATTACCTAAAGGATTTTATTTTTAAAAGGGAATTTAAAAATAAAAAGAAGACCTTGTATGTTATAATAGTGTGAAATTTAATTGAAGAACTGGCATTTAGTAATAGTTTTCTAATGTGATAACAATAACGTTGCGTGAATCGAAGCAGGGAACTAATAGCATGTTATAAACTTTATGTGGTAAGAATGAATAAAATAACTGAGAACAATTAATATACTTTTCAGTGTGGTAGACGTGGTAAAATGCATGTGAGAATAATGGCTAGGCATTACTTTAATAATACATATGAATGGAACTGAGACGATGATAATATTTTTCAACGTGGTAAATGTGGAGCTGATAAACTGCAAGTGAGAATAATGGCTAGGCACTACTTTGATAGTAAATGTGAATGGAACTGAAACGATGATGATAAGAGACAGAATTTTCTCCATGGTAGATGTGGAACTGATAAACTGCAAGGGAGAATAATGGCTAGGCACTACTTTAATAGTAACTATGAATGGAACTGAAACGATGATGATAAGAGACAGAATTTTCTCCATGGTAGATGTGGAACTGATAAACTGCAAGGGAGAATAATGGGATTAGATATCATGATTTTTGTCAATACACACCAACAAATACAGCAAGTAAGAAAGTGACACTTGATAGTAACCAGCATTAGCTTTAGGATCGCAACCCTATTTTTTATTCGGAACAGACTTTTACTTTATAGAACCAACCGGATTCTTTAACATGCCCCCCCCCCCCAGTGGCACAGCTGTATGTCTGCGGACTTACAACGCTAAAATCCGGGTTTCGATACCCGTGGTGGGCAGAGCACAGATAGTCCATTGTGTAGCTTTGTGCTTAATTACAAACAAACAAACAGACATCTTCCTTTTTCTGTGTTTTTTTTCACACCTAAGGTGTTTTTTATTACATTTATATCACTCAGAATATACATTTTTTTTCCATGGGCCAAAAATATAACTGAAAAGCTTCGTTCAATGCCTTGATTTATTATCAAATCAAAGGAGAATAGATATCCGTACTTGGGTAATGTCATTTTGAGTCGTTAATACGGCAGACAAGTGTTATCAATGTGCTACGTTTATTGTTTTCGTTACGATTTACATTCGAAAGAAAATTAAATTTGTTCTTTAAATAAACATATAAAATGCAACTCTTCTACATCAATACGAACCCTTTTTTTTCTTTGAAACACGTGCACGGTACGTCGAAATTGTCATTACCACCGTTGATACGCTTCGGTGTAATGCTCGAACCGTGGTTATAATTAACCATAAACAACCTACATGCATCTGTATTCACAACGAACTCAGAAAACATGCTTCAATCGCCCTTTCAGTTGTGAAAGTATTCACTAATTTTATCTTTAATCTTCTTTCACTATCCGTCTTTAATCACGGCCCAATCTATAGAGATGGTTTTTATCGTATTATTGCATGCCCGCTTAATCTGCAAACGAACAGTGTATTTTTGCATATAAACCCACACTGATTTCTGCTTGTAATAAACACGTGTGAAACGAGCATTTCTTAGAGTGAATTAAACCAACACATTTTAAAAAGGAATTTTGTGGGGCAGCGCGCGCGCGGTCGATCAATCTGTCCCTTGTTATTAAACACATAAAAAAAAATGAAGATTCTAGCTATTACAAACTTAATATGTATGTGAGAAAGAAAACTGTCTGAACGGCATGGCAGTGATAAAAGGGGGGTCTCCCCCACTACGTTTAGGAAAATTTGATTTTGAATTATTTAAATTCAAAGGAAACAATAAAGGGGAGGAGGGCGTGCATGGCCAAAAATCATCAATGGGGATGTTTTTAAAACTGTGTGAGATGAAGAACATATGAAATTCATATTGTTCACTTAATTAATACTCAACAAACAGGCAAGAAATACATAAAATAAATACAGGCCGGTTAAACTAGCACGTGTGTGTGTGTGTGTGTGGAGGGGGATTGAAGGTACTTTAGTCCGCCTTCAGGATGTATAGATTCACTGCGAGGTTCCGTAAATATTCACCAGACTTCACTAGTTTTATAAATCCATTTTTTTAAAACTATTTATTCGCCAGATTGTTTGAGGGTCCTCGACTTTCAGTGGCACAGCGGGAGGTCTGCGGACTTACAGTGCTAGAAACCGGGTTTTGATACCCATGGTAGGCAGAGCACAGATAGCCCATTTGTGAAGCTTTGTGCTTAGCTTCAAACAAACAAATCCTTCGTTTTTTACACAGAAAATTAGCATTATTTACACTGACCGGCAAAAAACACTAAACTACTCCCAAAGATACAATATGTTGGCCCACCACGGGTATCAAACCCCCGGATTTTAGTATTGTAAGTCCGTAAACATACCGCTGTCTCACCGAGGGACCACCCATAGTGAACTTTATAAAACCAAATCGGTAATCTCAGGGCTAAAAATGCATCAACAGCATAACGTATGGGCTATCTGTGCTGTGCCCACCACGGGTATCAAACCCCGGATTTTAGCGTTATAAGCCTTCAGACTCACCTCTTTGCCACTGGGGGGGGGGGGCAAACAGTATTTGAAAGTTAAGGACGCATGAAGAATATTTGAGGGTTAAGGACGCATGAAGAATATTTGAGGGTTAAGGACAGTTTGGAATAGAGAGTACTTGATATTTCTTGCCATACA